GTTGAGTAGGTAGTTAATGCAATAGGTAGTGGAGGTGCTGTATAGGTTGGTTTAACCACCTCCTCCCCCCTCCCCTCAAGTTAACAATTCAGGTTAAATTGTTAACTTGCTTCTAAGATCATTGAAGCCTGTAGGTAAGTGGCTTTGTAAGGATGTCTGCCGGCTAGTCCTGTGATGCAATGTGGTGGACGATAAGATGCTTAGCCGTGATGCAGTCCCAAATGAAGTGATAGTCCACTTCGATGTGCTTGGTTCGACCATGAAAATTTTGATTATTAGCCAATGCAATTGCTAAAGTATTATCGCAATAAACAGAAGTAGGAGAATTGTTGGATATCTGAAAATCATCAAGTAGAAGGCATAGCCACATAAGTTCGCTTGCAACAATAGCCAGCGCCTTGTATTCTGCTTCGGTTGATGATCATGCAACCGTGGGTTGCTTTTTGACATACCAAGATAGCAAGTTGCTACCAATAAAAGTACAAAATCTAGTAACTTAGCGATGATCAATCGAATCAGCCGCCCAATCTGAGTTGGCATAGGCTGAGAGCTGTAGAGAGGACTTGTGAATAGGAAGAAAGCATCCGATGGTACCTTTAGACATTTGAAGACTCTTTTAAGTAACTGAAAATGTGTGTTGGTTAGACTGTGCATATGCTAACATAAATAATTAACTGCAAATGCAATATCTGGCCGACTAATGGTTAGATATTGAACCAATTAATTTCTGATAGTGTTCTGGTTGTGAAAAAGGTTTGTCTGAAGATGATGGACTTGGGAGTTTGTGGGCTAAGCACTCGTTTACAATGTGTTATGCCAGCTTTGATGAGCAGTTCTGAAATATATCGGGATTGATCAATCCGCATGCCTTGATCAATGGTTTGAATGTGAATGCCTAGAAAATGAGAAACAACGCCCAAGTTTCTCATGTGAAATTGACAGCTTAGGTTTTCAAGAAGCTTGTTTAGTTTGGTAGTGTTGTTGCCAGTAAACAGCACATCATAAACATATACAATCAGATATAAAGAAATATTTCCTTTATAAAATATCAGAAAGGATGGATCCTCTTTGCTTGTTAGAAAGCCATATTGCAATAGGTGGGAGGAGAGTGTGGAGAACCACTGTCGTGGGGACTGTTTGAGCCCATAAATGAACTTATGTAGTTGGAAAACATAAGAAGGATATTGTTGATCTATAAATCCCGACGGCTGTTTCATGTGAAACACTTCATCCAGTTTGAGATATCAAGATATAAAACCGGCCATTTGAAGTGAGTAGCAAGAATAAGTAAAAGTCAAATAGTAGGAAATATGACCACTGGGCTAAAGATATCTTTGTAATCATGGCCAAATTCCTGCTTAAATCCTTGTGCCACCAATCGAGCTTTGTAGCGTGCAAACGAGTCATCTGGATTGAGTTTGGTCTTGTAAATCCATTTGCAACCAAATAATACATTTTAATTCGGTGCTTGTGGCACAAGAGACCAAGTGCCTTAGTTTTGAAGTGCTTGGAATTCATTAGACATGGCGGAGCGCCAAACTGCATGCTTTGTAGCTTCCAAATATGAGGACGGGGAAGTTGGAATGACTTGGTGATGAAGATCCATGAGGACTTTGGGTTTTAGATACCCTGTTTGAAATCGGGTAAGCATGTGATGTTTAAGTGGAGGTGGGGGGTGATGAGGCGGAGATGGTAGACATGGCTAATGGTGTATTATTTGATAAAGTTGTAGGAGTAATGTATGGAGAGAATATAGTAGGTTGCTGATCGGAATTGTTGGAAGTGTGATGTCTTGGAAAAGTAGTGGGAGGAGAAGTTGTTGAGTTTGAGAGTGACGCTGGTACAAGAGTTAGAGGAGATGGGAAATGAGGAAAAATTCAGTATTTGTGGGAGGAGAAGAGACCTGTTTAAAAGGAAATGAAGATTCAACGAATGTAACATGGCGGGAAATATAAATACAATTCGTAAAAGGATCAAAGCATTTGTAGCCCTTGGACTCATTTGTATAGCCGAGAAAAATGCAGGACAAGGAGCGAGGTTGAAGTTTGTGGTGGTGTAGAGGAGGTATCCATGGGTAGCATAAGCAACCAAAGACTCGTAGATTATTATATTAGGAGGGTGGTTATATAGTCATTGATAAGGAGAGAAATGAGGTGTTGCTTTAGATGGTAGCCGATTTATTAAATAAGTTGCTGTCAATAATGTTTCAACCCAAAATCGAGAAGGTACATTAGCTTCAAACAGTAAAGAACACATTGTTTCGAGAAGGTGACGATGTTTTCTCTCGGCAATACCATTTTGTTGAGGTGTATAAGGGCATGACAAACGGTGAGCAATACCACATTGATTCAATTATTGTTTGAAATTTTGATTAACAAATTCGCCTCCATGATCAGTTTGAAGTTGTTTAATAGGGGTTTGAAATTGAGTTTCGACAAACTATTTAAAACGTTTAAATGTGAGAATCACGTCTGATTTGAGCTTTAAAGGGAATACCCAACAGAAGCGAGTAAAGTCATCCACAAACAAAAGATAGTATTTATAATATTGATTTGATAAAATCGAGGAAGGTCCCCATACATGTAGGAGTTCTAAACATTTATTAGTTTTAGAAGAAGCTAAAGTAAAAGGAAGACGATGACATTTTGCACGAACACACAAATCACAATGGGATGAGGGCTTGTCATGTTGAGCAAACTTGAGAACCGTGGAGAGCTTTTGTTGGAGGAGAATCGCGGGTGACCAAGATGGTTATGCCATGTTGAGAAGCTTGTGGGAGTAGTAAGAAGGGTTGTAGCTTCAGTGGGATAGTGCATCTAACGAAATGCGGGTGATAGCTTAATAGGATACAAACCATATTGAGTCGGTCACCGAAGAAGGATTTGATGAGTCTTGGAATCCTTGAGAGTGACACCAGTATTTTCAAATACTATATAGCAAGCATTATCTTTAGGTAGGCTAGATACAAAAATGAGATTGAGTGAGACGAGGGACATGAAGTATTTGGGGTAAGTGAAGCTTACAACTAGGCATAGGTAAAATGCCTTTACCCTAGTTGGCAATTGGAAGCTGGGTACCATCTCCAACTTGAACATGAGATGTCCCAGAGTAAGGTTGAGTAGTTTGTAGTTGAGCAGAATCAACAGTGAGGTGTGAAGAAGCTCCTAAATCCAAAAACCAGTCTGCAGAGGAGGATTTTTCATCTTGAACTAGCAAAGTCTGTTGCGGATATTTGATAGGAAAGATTGGTCCTGTGCCAGCAGGAGATGGCTGAGTGACCTTGTTTTCCATAAATTTGACATGTGAGAGAGTTAAATTGTCGTCGACCACCACCTCTCGACGAAGAATGACCTCCACGGGATGATGAGAAACGCCCGCGCGCGGAAGCGCGGATTGCCCGCTGAATTCAACAAGGTCGAATGACGAATCAGGTGTTTGTTGAGTAGCTTGCTCAGTTGAGGTATTAACCTCTTCACTACATAATAAAGCATACAGGTCATCTAGACTAATCGGCTGGAGCTTAGTTCGTATGGCCGTTTTAAAAGAATTATATCCCGGGGGTAATCAATTAAGTGTATAAAGGATGACATCCTCAGGATCTATGTGTGAACCGGCGGCTGTAATAGCATCTACTCTCTGTTTGATGTCTGATAGATACTAGAACATCAACTTGTCCTGCATCTTAAGTTGATGCAGTTCATTTTTGAGCTGTAAGCAATTCGTTGCCTGGAGTTGACATTCCAAGGTAAATCAAATTTCATGACAGGTTTGAAGATTCAAGACATAAGTCAGTAATGGTTGTGAAATAGAGAAGAAGAGGGCAGCAATTAAGTTTTGATCAATGAGATGACACGAGAGGTAGGTAGGATTCATAGTAAATGAATCAACAAAAAGATGTTTGGGTGGTTGGCATAGAGAGCCATCTAGATATTCGGTAAAGCCATTGGCACCGAAAAGCTTCTAGACCTGTGAGTGCCAAATGGGATAGTTGGTGGCTTCAAGTTGAACATTTAGCACTGATTTAACATTGACCATTAAAAATTTTAACTGAGGGGTAATAGGGAGAGCCGTGGTGGAGGAGGTAGCCGCTGGAACAACAGTAGAAGAAGCTTCTGTACTTGCCATTGGATCAATAGAACAAGTACACCAAACAAAGTAATTAAGGACTTCAAACCTGCTCTGATATCATGAAAGGATTCACAGAGAACTAATCTGGAGAAAATGAAAATAACTAATATTTGTGTATTACATTCACTATCTGTTCAATACAAAGGAATATATATATATATATATATATATATATAGAGAGAGAGAGAGAGAGAGAGAGAGAGAGAGAGAGAGAGAGAGAGAGAGAGAGATAATAACTACAACGTAAGTATATGGCCGACTGTCAGTTATACAGTTGAGTAGGCATGATGTATAGGTTGGTTTAACAAGAAGCGCTATGCCCTAAAATTTTTCCTAAAAAAAAAAAAGATGAGACACGAAGATCATACATATAAACTAAACTGTTTATTTTAACATTTACACTATTCACATTAATCGCAAGCAGTTCATATACCAATTATTGAATAAACATAATAATATGACCCAAAACCTGTTGCATATTCAGTAAGTATTGAACAATGTAAGATATTGATAGTAAAATTCACAGTACAACTAGATCTAAGATATTCAATTATAATTACTGGTTACAAAAACTTGCAGAAGCATAATTCTATTATAAGGAGATAAATCGACTGAGTTAATACCAAAAAAAATTGTGGATTGTTTTGATTTGAAGTCCATTATTCTATTGACTCAGAGAGAAAATACTAAGGCCTTACAAAGTTCATCTAAGAACGACAAACCAAACCTTATAATTTGCATCATATTCTGCCAGCATATTTGTACTCCAGTCCTGGCTTTTGTTGATTCTATACACTTTTTTCTTGTAAAATAGCGATGCCAATCCTTATTGCATAGTTTACTTACTTTTTTTTTGGTTATTTCTTTTACAGGACCTATAGAAGTAATCGAATCATTTGGTGCTGAAAATCTGAGACCAGGACCAAGACATATATATCAGCTAATCTGAAGGAACTCTTGATGATCATTTTTTCTCAGGAATTTCTTGAGAAATAATGAACTCCGCATTATAATGGAGCAGCTTGAAAGGTATTCCATCATAATCATATTGGCATTGGCTTTTATTTTATTATTTTTAAGTCTTTGATACATGATTTTAATGCTCATGGAATTGATTTTTAATATGACACAATGGAGAAAAATGATTCAAATAGCCGACCCCACGTAGTGGGAGAAAGATGAAGATTTTATGATAAATATATAATCTAATTTTTTATTGTGAGATTTGTACAAAGAAATTATGCATATTTATAGGGTTTTCTACAAAATGTTTTTTTTTTTAAATTGATCTACATTATGAGCAAAAGGTGTGGCCAGTATATTTTGGATAACTCTTTAATTCAAAGAAGAGATTATGAAAGAATTTATCTCAAAATTTAAAAATAAAGTGGGCAAACTTTTCAAAAAATATATAAAAATATAAAATAAAAATAAAAATTTTATATCATACATAAATGTATAATTTTTTCTGTTAAATCTAGAGAGAGAGAGAGAGAGAGATAATCGGTCCAAACCCATCTTTTAATCGTATATCATTGACATTTAAGCCTCCAACTGTGAAAGGAAAAGAGAATCTGCTACACTTCTCTTCAAGTTACAGCTCATAAAAAAGACTCAATACCTTCTTTCTTTCTCGGAGGAGATGGGCACGCCTGGTCCGATTCCCCTTTCTCTCATGAGCTGTGACTTGAATATTTGACCGTTGAATTGTTCTAGTAGTTAAAAGAGATTTTACTTCTTACATATATATGTATATTTGCTTCCTCAATATTACCGTTATTGGCTATATTTGAAAAAATACCGGACTACAGAAATTTAGATTGAAGAGAATCATGAGCATCGATCACCCAAAATATCCTCACAACCCTTCAGATTTTAATACAATTTATTTACTTGTTTTGGCGTGCAGCAGTACTCCAGTTGAGTAAATTGCCTGTGCTTGATTAATTTATTGCCTGCCGTACTTAGAAAATAGATCGTGAATCCAGCTCAGCTCTATGACCATAGTCCACACCACTCTCTGTCCCTTGGCATCAGACCCTTTGGCTAGCCTGTTATAACTAGATAAATAATGATAGAGCTCATGCTCGTCTCTAAGTTCCCCCACTTCACAATCATTTACTTCTCCGCTATTCTCCACAGTACGTGATTCAGCTAGCTCTTACTCTTCTATTAAAGGAAGAGTGACCGCTGCTCTATCTCCATCTCTTTCTCTTGCGTCTGTCTAACTGGGGGGAGATAATGGCTTCCAGGCCTTTGCACGTTGCAGTTCTTCTTTTCGTCTTCCTTAATGAGGTAACAATTAAGCTTGTTTATACTACTTAGGCTTCGTTTGGGACGGCATTCTTATTGCTTCTTAAAATAATTTTTTAAGTACAAAGTTAAAAATTTTGTATTCAAAAGTTTCTTTAAGAATCGATAAAAAAATCGTCCCAAATGAAGCCTTAGATTGTGCTTGGAGCCTGAAAAGCTCAATGGCTGTAGGTAAATTCATGATAATAATCATAATATAAATTAATTATAAGGATGATTTTACTTCATTTTCTTCACTTTCCTTCAATCTAAGCAAATATCTAAAAACGTGCTTGTTGGCTGATAAACTCTTTAATACTGGCTTGCAGGTTTCCTTTTTGAAGCTAATGGCGAAGGATCATGATCATGTAAATCTATTATTGCCAATATTTTAAGCATAGAAATTTTATATTACACACAGTTATATATTTATGATTTTTTTTTTCGAACTTAAGAGAGATACATTTGATTTATTCTTATAATCTTCATCTGAACTTTCTTCTTCCAACCCCTTTCAGATAGTTTTTGTTAATGGTGGTGGAAGCGACAGCCCTGCTCCTCTTGTAGGTTAGCCTCCATTTTACTTCCATGAATATTTCAGTTCTCATCATTTATTTATTTTCTAAAGAAGTATATAAAAGAAAGAGAAAATGGCTAAAATTAGTATAAATCCGTTTTTCTAAGCA